TGATCAAAATAACCTACGAAGAACGAATAAGTTCCCAGATACCGGATGCCCCTAGGCATCAGTCGGTCACCGGCTGAAGTTCTCACTTGGGTTATTTATCCCAAAATTGCACCTCCCACCCCAATTAGGGCAAAAGAGTTGTTTAATGGCTATGAAATCTCTACAAGGACGGACATACGCCGTCTGTGTAGTGACCGACGCGCCTGTTGGTGTACGGCTGTGCACTTGGTTTGGGGCAATCACTAATGTGATTGATTGACTTACAAACGTATCATGCTCTTTGCAGCATCAGTCATTTTCAAGTCAATCAACCAACTCCACTTGAAACCAATCACACAGCCGTCCAGGGGCAAGGACAGCCAGACTATTGACTAGTTAGGCAAGAAATCACCGCTGCATGCTTTTGATAAGTTAGGCAAAAATTATAATTTGCAAAAAATAAAAACTCAAATGTAAATTGATCAAAACCGACTCAGTCGGTGAATTTCATAAAGGTCCATCCAACCAAACGGTTGTAATGGATCAAATGTTAATTAACCCGGCTCCACAGCCGGTAAATACATAGATACTCGGCACGCAGGCCGGAAAAAGCAAGTTTTGGCATACAGCCGCTGAACAAAAAGGAAATTAAAAGAAAGCAAAGATTGGCATACTGCCGCTGAAGGGTCACTTCTGGCCTACAGACGGAGCCTCCTGGTCCTCTCCCTTCTCCTCATTGTCTGAGGGAATTTCCTGCGCTTCGCTAGGACCAGGAAGCTCAGGCGCGGACGGCTCAGTGGAGTTGACCCAGGCTTTAAAGGAGGCAGGCTCTGGCTCGCCTTGCTCTCGCAAGTACACCACGTACTCAGCATAGCTGTGCGCCATTGCCCAGATGATGTAATCCGCGTCTGGGTACAAGGCTGCCCAAGCAATCTTCATACGGGCGTCGTTGTCAGCATCACTCTCAGCAACAAGGCGGTTTTGTTCCGCCTCCAGGTTGCTGCAAAGTTTTTCTGAGCCTGCGCAGCATCCTTCTCCGGCCTCTCAACCTTGGTCTTCAGTTTGCCAAGGTCCGCCTGGGTCTTCTTGAGCGCCTCATTAGTCTGTTTGGCGCTCTCGTCTGCCTTTTTCTGGGCCTCCTCCGCTCCCTTCTTGGCCGTCTCAGCATCCGTAGCCCGCTGGTTGGCCGCCTTTAGATCTAGCTCCAGCTGCCGGATTTTAGACGCCTGTGTCATAATTATTGCTTTAGTTTCAAGTTCATTTACGATAGTCGAGTGTAAAGCAATATTATCAGCGTCTATGGCAGACTTCTTGGCCCTTTTTACCTCTTCCCATTTGCGGGAATAAGGACGTTTGAGCCCGTCCACCCGCAGCATGGCCTGCAAAAAGTCAGGCGGTATAAGTATTGCAGGCGGGATAAAACACTTGAAAAAAAAATAAATTGAATTGACAAGTTTCTTACCTCAGCCAGAAGGGATAGAATGCGTTCAAGGTTGAACGTCTCTATCCCAGGGATATTGTCCTTATCCCTCTTCCGGACGGCCTCCAGCATGGCCTTGGCATGCTTCTGGACGTTTGGCCAGCGGGGAGATTGAGATTGATCTGCACCACAATCAATAGGTGATGAGTGCGAAACTAAGGCGGCACCTATTTGTATCCGGCCGTCTGAGGATGACGTCTGTTGGGAGTGGGATTTCACCCGCAAAGGCCACCCCAGCTCAAGCGGGGATTCAAAAGGGCTCTTACCTTCAGAGCCGGCCAAGCGAGTACCGCTTGCAGGCGTGGAGAACCCCCCGGTCGCTATAACGGGGTCAACGAGGTCGAGGCCCAGGCTGCCGCCTACCCTCTCGTTGCGCCCCGCTATCCGCATCTGTTGATGCCCGGCTGAGGCGCCAGGAGTCGACGCGGAGGCGGCCTTCTTTATTTTGTTGAGAACGGCTGGGGCCTCCTCCCTAGCCCATTTGAGATTCTTCTCAAACGATTTCCCAACTTCTCCCCCCTACGAAAAATAAGCAAATCAAAGTTAGCATCCGAAAAAGATAGCTTTTAAATTAACTTATGGAAGGGTTAGGCGCTCATTACCTTGGCCCTGAGTTCGGCCGCAGCTTTCTCCGCAAGATCTTTGCGGATGGTCGCAGAAGACCGCTTGGGAGTTTTCTCCGACTGCAGCATGTTCAACGCTTCTTCTGCAAAATGAAAGAAATTGGTTAACATCATAAATCAATACCAATAGATGAATACTACAGATGGTATGAACTCAGGTGCATACGTTTATTAAACATGTGCCCTAGCCCGCAGGCGGCTAGGAAGCATTCATCCCTGAACTAGGCGCTCTTGGGAATCCAGTTCTTAGGGACTTTTATTGTTTCCCCGGTTGACAGAGTTGCGTCTGTGAGGCCGCCGAAAAAGTCTGCCTCAATTATTTTGTCAAAGTCTTCTTCTGGGATCCGGGGAAGAGCGCACTTCTTGCCCAACAAGTCAGGCTTCTTATTGTACAGACGGAATTCATAATTTTCCCGTCTGGGGGCTGACATCAGGTAAAACCTATGCTTCCAGCCGTCGAACTTTGAGACCTTGTCCAAGGTCATCATGTATTGCGGATGTGTGGTTAGAGTATACCACGCCCTCCAGCAGGCGGCTTCTGCTGAGGTAATGCAAACTTGCAAAAGCCTCCCAGCTAAGGTTAAGCCCTTGAAACTCGCAGGCGGCAACATACCCCAGAATGTTGGTCCAAGAATTAAGGGTAAGTTGCCAGACCCCAAGGCCGTAGCCTCTCACAATTGCCTTCACCGCCTGGTGAAGGGGGAAGCGAAGGCCGGCTTTGAACGCCGCCTCATAACAGCCAAAATAGTTGTTGGCGTTCTGTTGATCGTCCCCCCAGGCGATGGTGCCAAGCTCAGGCGGCACCCGGATCTTATACCCGTCTCCAAGCGGGTGCATTTGCTTAAAATTCTCTAAGTTCTCCCCCATTTGGATCTGGTCCTTGGAGGAGACGTGGATGCTGAAGAGATCGTCCTTCTCACTCCACTTTTTCCTTTCTTCCTCCTCGCTATCCGGAAGAGGGGGCAAGTCGTCGCTGCTCTCAGAGGTAGAGGCGGAGCTGTCACTCTCCGTCTCACCCTCACTTTGGTCCAAGGGGGCAGAGGCGGCCTCGTTGCCGCCTTGGTCACATTCCTCCAAGAAAGAGTCAGCGGGGGTTGAAGGGGCGCGCGGAGGGGATCTCTCCAGAGCCGTCTGATCTCCCTGACCAGACGTTTCTCCCTCAGGCGTTTGGCCGCCTGAGCCTTCGCTTTTGTAATTTGGATCGGTGGTCGTCTGCATAGTCCGAGCCATGGTGTCCTGCACAGACACATAACTGGTCGGAATCCATGGCAAAGGGTGGTCCCAACACCCCGAGCCGACACTCCCAGTCCTAGAATCAGCCGTCCCTGGTGACCTGCTGGACTCTAACCTAGGTTGTGTCGTGTGTGTTGGTGATGCATCCATTTATTGCAAAAAATATGTACAAGCGGTGAAAAAAGAAAAGAGCTGAGAGAGACAGAGACGGTACCTTTGGATTTGATATCTGAAGGAAGGCGGGTCCGGCTGGGTTGCTGAAGAAAAAAGTTTCTTGCTCGCGCCTGAATCAAACGGATGACTTCTGCTCTCTCAAAGTTTTTCTCGCTAGAAAATTTTTGTAAACGTACAAAATTATGAGGGTAAAACAGCTATATATAGAGGGTAAATATGGGGGCATTTCCGTAATTTACCCGGAAGGTGAACGGTTACTCTTTAACGGTAAAATTACCGCCAATCGGAGTGTGACATGTGTCACAGATGCCACGTGGCGTGCCACGTCCCATCTGTGAGGGGCAAATGTTTAGGGTAATTTCACCCTGCCACGTGGCCCAATCAGAGGGTGACACGTGTCAGCCCCCAGATTGGTCTAAAATGGACCAATCCCTGCTCGACACGTGTCATTCCAGAAATCAAGGGAAAAGGCGGCCTTCAGGCCCAAATCCCGAGAACGCCGCAAAACGGCGCAGCCCACCAATAATTAGGGTTCAGTGACCTAATCAGGGGCACAATTTCCAAAGACCCTATAAATAGGGAGATGTCCCTCATTTTGAGGGCACGTTTTACCATTTATTACACCTGCATTCTCTTACATCAGAGAAACACCTGAGCTTGGAATCCAAGCAGATCCCCACCTCAATTTCCGTACTCTTTATTCCGTTTCAAGTTACTAACTTGACCGTCGGAGGCGGAGCTCCAACCATCCGGAGTCTCCGTTATTTTGCAGGTACAGACCGGCCAGACCAGACTTCGTGACGTAACTCTCCCGAGGGACAAAAACACCCAAAACACCATCAAAATTTATCTTCCAAAATTCTTAATAGATGCATTACTCAAAACACCAATTTACCATAACACTAATGCATTCAAAGTTTCAAACCTTATATATGACACATGGCTGCTTTTACAATTGTAACACGAAGTCACAAAGTATATTATGAAAAGAAGGAATAGCTCAGTTTTTATATTTTAGACAATAACATCACATACATTGAACATAATCCTGAACTTTCCAGATGTCTGTAGGCTAAATAAAGGAGCAATTAAAAGCAGAGTAGGAACAAACACTCCCTACATTTACATATGCTTCAAGGAGAAAAACAGGGACATAAATGAGTTTTGTGAAAGGAAGACGACTTCTAATGCGTCACTGATAGTCAGAGCATCAGATTAGAAATAAGCTTATTTGCTTCTGTTTAGTTGAACACTGAAAATAATTCAAGTACTACCAATGTGTCTCCTACTCTCATTACTTTAAAGCATTTACAAGTCATTCCTACAAATAGATTATGATAGAATATTTTCTAAGGTCAAACACAGCAGAATTTCGGCTACAAATGTACACCCTTGGCTGTAGTGTAAATGTAGGCTAGAGCAGAAATCATAAGACTAACTTTAGCAAGTATAATGAAGAACTTCAGTCAACATTCATGGAAATATGCAGAGAATGAGCTAGAAAATATTACCTCTATCAAGCATCAAGGCCAATCTTCTCCATGATTAACCGAAGCTTTTGTTCTGGGTCTTCTTGTTTCTTCTTAGACGCTTCCAATTCAGCTCGCATAATATTATTTTCATTTTGTAGTTTTTCAACATTTTGTTTCAGCTCAGCTCTTCCGATCTTTCGATCTTTAGACGACACCAGGTGCCCTTTGCCTAAACCTCGGGCATAACCTGGACGATGTCCAAGAACCTTCACATAAGCTTCTTCAAGAGTAAGATTATCAACTCTCTTTTCACTAATTTCCTTCTCATGCAACTCTCTTAATTCCTTGAACTTCTCCTCGGCCTCATTGTCAAACTTCCCATTTTTATGCCTTACAAGATAAAACAAAGTCAGAACTTTAAAATAAAGAAAAACAAAGTGTTCGTGCATTAGACAAATATTCAATATACCTCTTTGACTTCTCCCATAACTTTAAATACATGGGATCATCATTAGCTAGGGATGAGGTGGTTACATTTGAACTAGAACCATTGATTTCGGTGAACTCATTCTCATGTTCACAAGCTTGTGCCTCAAGTTCCTATCAAATCATATACATACACTTATTAGTTTCAGCAAGATCAATCCATTTAGGAAAGTATTTCAAAACCATATAGTAATTCAACAATGCATATTTCTTTTTTTTTAATAACAAGAGGATCAGATCCACATTTCAACAATGCAGAATTTATAATACGACGAATACAACAGGACATGACCACAGGAGCACTAAAACAGAACAGAATCAAGTTTCCAGATAAGTTACTTAAAACGAAAAACTACAGATGTTGAATACGCTAGGAAAACAATTATTTTAATGCATTCAAATCTAACGCGTAGTATCATTAGACCATGTTGAGTTTTCATTAATGAATGAGGGATGATGTAAATCTGCATCAAGCAGATCATACAGAATAATATGAGGCAGTAATCTTTGGCCACTAAAAGCCATTCCACTATTCTGTAATTAAATGAGGCTCACATTGCTGAGCTACTAGGATGTTCATTGTTACATGGTTTCTAGTAATCAGCTAGCTAATTATGATAAATTCTATAAGGCATATAATGTAGTAATGCACATATATGAAGCTTTAAGAAATAGGCCACGCTCTCTTCAACTTAAAACAATAATGATGCTCCATATTTAATAAAAAAAAAATTACTCCTTAAGATTTAACCTAGATATCCGAAATTGAATATAGCAAAATCACAAGTGAATCAAGAAAACTATTTTTACTCTGTTGTATACAGTCACAGCTCATGAAGACAGTAAACAACTAAGACAAAGATAGATTATACTCATCAATTCATAAATTATGCGAGCTGTTGATTTTGCACCACATGCTGACTTGATCTTCTTTGCAAGAGCATTTGCTCGATTCTTCTCACTCCTTTCCTAAGGTTACAAAACAACATATAGGATTAGCAAAAGGGAAGAAATACCAATTGAAGAATTTTGATTAGAAGAGCATTCCCATAACTTACCTTCTGTTTAGGAGAGCTCCAATAGTTATAAACAAGCCACTTCCATTAATAAAGATTTTCTAGTTGAAAAATAGTCAGCCTTCAACCTTTCTCTCCAATGCCTATAAAGGGTGGAGCATTGGATCTTTATTGCTTTACGAATGTGTGCTCCTTCACCCAATTCGTACTTTGACTAGAAACAAGCAAAAAACAAGCATAATTATTAAATGGCCTGCTAGAAAACAAGCATAAAGGAAAACAAGCAGAAAACAAGCATAAAGGAACAAAAATGGCCTGCCAAACTAATGCTTATTAAACCTGTTTTAAACCATGTAAGAGTCAGAAGTACAAAATCAGCAGCAGACCCAAAAATTACAATACCATTTGACATTTCAATTTAAGATTGAACAAGCAAGATTAAATACCTTAATCCTTGCATATAATTGATCTACAATCCCGTCAGGCATATCACTCCATTTAAGAACATCAAGGGGGCAGATCTCCTTCACCCAATAAGCACACTAAACAACAAACTGATTTGCACGCTCACCCACAACAGCTCCTAATACTGGAGGAATACTAACCTTGAGCTTTCCGGGTTGAATGCTTCGCAACTTTTTATACTTGAGTGCTCTACTTGGACCACGAAAGGGACCTTTTCTTCTATTAGGTTGAGAGGTCGATCCTAATTGCAATAACGATGATTGAGTCTCCAGATTCATTGTTCTTCTTTCTATACCAAACAAAATCTGGTTTAAATCCATAAATAGAAAACAAAAAATAAATAGAAAATATAAACAGAAAACAGAAAATAAAAACAGAAATATAAATAGAAAACAGAAAGTAAAACAGAAATAAAAGTTCTGATCCATGTATAAAAGTAGCACATTTTACGTAAGTTTGAGATTAAAAAAAAAAAAAGACAAAAGATGGAATAGCAACAAGTTTAGTCGCTGCCCGAGTCCACATCATCATCTTCTTCTTCTTCGAGTTCTTCTTCTTCCAAAATCCCATTCTCCTTTGACTCAAAATCAATTGAGTTCACTAACATAGGAGGGACATCATTTCTTGGTAAAATCTCATCATCTACATCATTCACTATTGAGTTAGGTATTCCTAATTCAACATCATCATTCTCATCATCGCAACCACTATCATCAACAATTGGAAAATTGTAGAAGTTACGAGGAATTGTCTTAATAACGATTCTCCAATTTGGCTCATTATGTGCCCTCACGTAATAGACTTGTCCAACCTGGGATGCCATAGAAAATGGCTCATTGGTTTGTAAAAACCTTTTAGTGTTGACACTAATTGTGCCAAACTTGTCCCTTTTTATCCCTCGCCTCTCCGTATAAATATCGAACCAAACACATCTAAATAACACCACGATTGGTTACTTATCCGCACCATTTGGAACATCATACTCCAATTCTATGACTTCTTTTAAAACCCCCAAAAGTCTCTTTATCCACTCTCTTCATCTCCTTTAACAACTATTCCACTATTTTGTGTCTTTCGCCTTCTTTGACGTTTTTTAGTGTGGAAACGATGCCCATTTATATAGTATCCTTGATAGCTTCTAACACTTTTACTCGGACCTCGTGACAATGATACTCGGTTGTTACTCTTGGATCTCCTTCCATATGAAGATTCCATATCTATGAAAATAAGTCATTATGGAGAGATCAAATTAGTATTAACACTTACAAACCATAACCTTAATCTTAACCTTAACATAAAGACATAACACTTACTCGTGATTGAAACCAATCAACTACACTTGGTTTTGGCCCACAAATAGAGGCATACTCTCTGTTCATCATATACATGTTAATGGTATTTCACATAATGATGAATTAATGATTAAAAGAATAAAAAGATATAGATGACTTACTCCACAAATGGTTGTACTTCTGGACAATTCATAAGAACATATAATTGAGCTTGCTCCCAAACTAAGATGCTCAATTGCTTGAATGTTCTTCTACCTAATGGATTTCCCTTGTTTTGAAAAACTGATAGTTTAAACAATGGAGAATGATAATTCTTACCCAAGTCATTTCTACTCATGCGATTGAATTATGTCTCAACACCACTTAAATATCTAGAGACGAAGGTAAGACATTCTTCCATTATACGGGCATTAGCAAATAGAGCCTTCTGGTTGAGCTTTGTTAGTTGCAGTAGGCAGCTTCATGGTGTACATTTCCCTTCAAGAAATAACCTTATTAAATGATGCCATAAATAAAACAATTTCACATATTAATGTAGGATGAGCTATTAGATTACCTTTCAAATCGATATTGCACTGGCCCAGCAAGCTTGGCCTCACTAGCCAAGTGGATTGGGAGGTGAACCATAATATCAAAGAATGATGGAACAAACACCTTTTCAAGCTTACAAAGAGTTATTGCAATACTCTTTTCCAATCGCTCCAACACATCAATTTTAAGAGTTTTGGAGCACAATTGCTTGAAAAGAAATAGAGGACGAAAAACTTAATTCGCCCTCTTTGCTCTGTTATAGAGGACGAAAACTGAATTTGCCCTCTTTGTTCTGAAATAGAAGGGCGAAAGTAAGTTTCGCCCTCTTTGCTCTGTAATAAAAGGGCAATTATAATTTTGCCCTCCTTGATAGAAACTAACTAGACAAACTATAACTCGCCCATCTTGACCGATTAAAGTCGTCCTTTTTTATCTTTTTTCTTGTAGTGTTGATCATATAATAAATAAAGTTGAGATCCGCAACTAGGCTACATAATAGATGACAACATTTGTTGACTTCTTGTTCAAATATTTTGCCAAGTATCACACCACTTAATCGACAAATAAGCATTAGTATTAGAAACTTCGGATAACTTTATTAGGATAAATAAGTTATATATTGGAAAATTTGTAAATTACCATCCAAATAGTAGACCTATTTTGAAATTACAACCCGTTAATTTTATTTTTTTTATTATACCCCTCTTAAATTAAAAAATTACTCAGATTCCACTTTTTTCAAAATTTCAGTAGATTTTCCGTCTGTTAGATGTGTATATGACATACATAAATCCTAAGTTAGTTGGTTAATACAACAGCCTAAGTTAGATTAAACATGTGTAAATGACATACATACATCGACTTTCCTAAGTTCTACCCATATACTATTCACTAGGTCAAAATTTAAGACTTTGACCATGTCTTATTGTGTATATATGAAAACATTATCATGTTTGATCTTATTAGATTCGTATTGATATGAAATTTGAATATATCAACATTGTATAATTTTTACTCCATACGCAGTACTAATGCACAATAAAAGAAATTAATGGTCAAAGTAATGATTACAAACCGCGTAAAACGCAAGCGGGTAACACTTAGCAAAATATGGGTGATACAAGTATGCAATTTAGTCAAAGAGATCATAGATGTGTTATCGGATGTTTGAATAGTCAAGCTTCGATCCCTTTGCTTGCTAAAAAATTATCGTAACGATAAAATTTAACAGCATATTTGTTAGGGTCAACATTTTGTGGTAGCACACAAGACCTCCAAAGTATTTAAGACGGCCCATCGTGAACTCATCATTTCGGAATATTATGGATCAAAGCTGTGACCTGGCCTAGCAAGTGGCAAATTCATACACAAAAGAATTCAAATTAGTACTATACTAAAATTACCGTAGTGCATGGTACGGGCCCTAATCTAGTACTATACTGGGTTAGATCCCGTGCCATGTGCACGGTTTTTCAATTTTTTTTACGGAGTATCAATTAAAACTATATTTAAATATAAAAAAATTTGGTCCATAGTCTATTTCTTATTTTATCCCAAATCTAGCAACTTAAAATACTACTATTATTTTTTTTATTTTTTATGACTACATATTATATTTTTAATTCAAACTTTCTTTTTTACATTTTTTTATTTCACATTTTAAAAAAAATTTCATTCGCTAATTATGTTAGGTTGAAAGATTATATTCATGATTTTTTTTTACTATAAATAATAATTATATACATTAAAAAGCAATTACTTATATAAAAATAGAAAGATATGATTAGATATCTAATTTGGTAAATATATTATTTTATGATTAAATTTTGGAAGAAAATATTTTGCGTATATTCTCTATCATTTTTTCAAAAGTTTTTTTTAACATATAAAAAAGATATACTAAGGACACACCAGAAGATGACATGTGTCATTGCTGGTGTGTCTTTTAGTATATAGTTATTGATACTAAAGTAATCACCAGGAATATTCTTGAAGTACACGTGTCATGTCTACATTAAAAAATTTCCCAACAAAAACTTTTTATTTTTTTCCTTAAAAAATAATAAGATAACGGATGAAAAAAGAGAATATATAGCCTAAATAATAGAACAATAACAATAACTTTAATAAAATATTAAATATATAATGATATATGAATATAAAAATTTTCCTGTGAATATGCGAGTGTTGCTCGAGCAAAGAACTAGTAATAAATAAAGTTGAGACCCTCAGCTAGGCTACATACAAGATGACAACATTTGTTGTTCAAATATTTTTCCAAGTATCACACCACTTAAACGACAAATAAGCATTAGTATGAGAAAATTTCGGATAAATTTATTAGGATAATAAGTTATATAATGGAATATTTGTAAATAGTAGACTTGTTTTGAAATTACCACCCGTTAATATTTTATTTTTATTTTACCACCCTCAAATTTAAAATTTACTCATATTCCACTTTTTTTTTCAAAATTCTGGTGGATTTTTCCGTCTGTTAGATTAAATATTTGTATATGACATATGTACATCCTAAGTTAGTTGGTTTATACAGCAACCTAAGTTAGATTAAATATGTGTAAATGACATACATACATCGGCTTTCCTAAGTTCTACCCATATACTATTCACTAGGTCAAAATTTAAGATTTTGACCATGTCTTATTGTGTATATATGAAAACATTATCATGTTTGATCTTATTAGATTCATATTGATATGAAATTTTTAATATATCAACATTGTATAATTATTACTCCATACATAGTACTAAACTACTAATGAACAATAAAAGAAATTAATAGTCAAAGTAATGATTACAAACCGCGTAAAATGCAAGTGGGTAACACTTAGCAAAATATGGGTGATACAAGTATGCAATTTAGTCAAAGAGATCATAGATGTGTTATCGGATGTTTGAATAGTCAAGCTTCGATCCCTTTGCTTGCTAAAAAATTATCGTAACGATAAAATTTAACAGCATATTTGTTAGGGCCAACATTTTGTGGTAGCACACAGGACCTCCAAAATATTTAAGACGGTCCATCAGTGAACTCATCATTTCGGAATACTATGGATCAAAGGTGTGACCTGGCCAAGCAAGTGGCAAATTCATACACAAAAGAATTCAAATTAGTACTATTACTATATTTTGACTTATTCTTGGTCAACAAGAAAAGACACTGCCTTGCGATTTTGTACTCGTCAACAATCAACAAGTCCATTTTCCTTAGCAAAATTTCCAACTACCAACAACCTAACTACACTATAAATACTACAATTTCTTATCATCTCAACTATTCTAACATTCTTCTAAACACATCAACCACCTCAAAGTTCTCTATATTTCAACAAATCTTGCACTTTCAAGAAGAAACAATCAATGAAGACGATTATGAACAATAATTACAAGAGTTTAGTGTTGATCATGCTAGTACTCTTGCTAGCGTTTTCAAGCCTTTCTACTACTTCGGTGCATGCCATAAGAATGTTGTCCGATGATAGTAGTAATAAAGGAGGGGATATCGATGATGGTAGTTTTGGTTATACGAAAGCTAAGTATGTGGTGGGTTACTGGCTCCAACGACTGTCTTCAGGCCCTAGTGGTGGTGGTGCAGGACATTGATGGTTGTATGACAACTTAGTTTATTTTGAAAAGTAATTTAAACATACACCAAGATTTTGTATATTGTAGGAAAATTCATTATTTATTTATTCATTCAATTCATTCAATTAATTTTATATAGATAGAGAGTCGATGTATAAAGCATAATTAATTAGAAGATGTATCGAAGTAAGATATAGTGGATTTAAGAATTAAGATCGAAAATGTAGTCTATCTCTTTTATTTTAGATTATTTCAATGTAATTTTCCTTTTTTTTATTAAGTAATTTTCATTTGTTCTTAACACAAAAATTTTTAAATAACGTTGTATATATTGGAAATGTATTGTGATTCAAGCAACCCCAATTCTAAGGATATGAATTTATGTCATATTAACTAATTAATCAAGTTGTTTCAAAAAAAAAAAAAAAACCCCTAATTAATCAAGACTTAATAACCCTAAAGTTTCAAAAGAATCAATATTTTGCACAATTGAGGAACATATTATGCAATTTATAAGGAAACAAGTCCTTGACTGACTTGAGCTAGCTCGTATTATGATTTAGTTATAGTGATTAGTGAATGTCATTCATATATACTTTGGCTTAAATTTTTATAATTCCTTAGTACAATAAATAATATAACACTTGTTCTCTTCAATCATTTCAAAATGGTCGATTTCTTTTGTATGGTTCTCTAATTTATGGTTTCCATTGGAAATACTTCAAAAAACAAACAAATTTTGTACGTACAACCCCAAGCTAAGTAATGTACTTCCTCATAACATTTTTTATTTGTAACACAACCGTATGACACGTACGTAGTTTAGGGTAGAGATTATAAAATGTAATCAATCAAAATAATTTTGACACGTAATACTTATTTACTTTTCTTTATTATCAGTGTTAAAAAACAAAAGAAACTTTTTATATTGTTATTTATTAGGAAGGATATATATGGTTATTCAAGTGTTCTTTAATTTAGTAATCATATTCATAACTTTCAAAATACTCCCTCCATCCTACACAAAATTATCATTTCCCTCTAAATAAATGCTTGTAAATATGATTCTCATTTTCACCATTGAATCAAGTCCTCTAAAATATACTCCTAATGCCTTGCTTTTCATCCTTTATTTTTATTTTTTCATGTTACTAAAAATACTCTGATAAGAGTATAAAACATATTTCTGGACCTCAATTATTACTTAAGCGTTTGATTGAGTTGATCCACTAACATGATATTGGAGTCAACGTAACACGAAAGTCTTGAGTTCAAATCTTTTTTTTTTTTTGAAAACTCTTAAGTTCAAATCTCATCCACCCTCACTTTTTGTTTGAGTTGGTCTACTGACATACTCCATCCATCCTACACAAAATTATCAACCATTTTTTTTTTCTCTTATTGATACACAAATACAAATATTTATGGTCAAATTTATGTCTCATCGCATATGCCAATGAAACCGTTGCATTAAAAACCGAGGTAGAAAATTTGACAAAAGATATATCACCTCCAGTCCAAATTACTCGCTACTTTGGGGTATTATTTGTGAGATATAAAATATTCCAAAGTTACGAGTAATTTGGATCGGAGGTTGTACTTAGTATAAAAGAGATTAATATAAGTAAAAAAAAAATAATAAGACTCAATTCACAAAATTGCTAGAAATAGTTTAATCCAATAAACTCTCAACCCAGCCCAAATAAATTGTGGCAGCTAGATTATTACCCATTCGTCAAAACAAGTGAGCAACCGTGTCATTTCATGGAACGATCCGTCTGCCTCCCTGCTTGAACAACTGACCTCATAGCTTTGATCATACACCTCCTAACATAGTCCAAACCATAAAATATTACATTTGACTTTTTCTTGGTCAACAAGAAAAGCCGCCATCTTATGACTTTATTAATTTTAAGTCCAATTTTATACTTTGTATCATTCAACGTTACACTTTATACACTTAATACTTGTATGTTGTATATCAAGATTATCAACTACTCACTACTACTATAAATACTCTTTAGGTAACGTAACATACATCCATATTTCACCAAACACTAATTCAAACATCCTCTTACATTCAAACATCCTCTTACATTCAACAAGATATACCATAGATATTATTGCACAATAATGAGTTTGAAAATGATGAACAATTATAACAAGAGATTTGTTTTGTTCACTTTGGTTGTTTTGCTAGCGTTTTCAAGCCTTGCTTCTTCGGCGCATGCTATAAGGCTATTGTCCGAGGATAGTGGTGCCGCCGGTGAACATCATAGCCAGTTTTACGTGAGGGCAAGATCTACTATGTCTTATTGGCTTGAACGACTGTCTTCTGGTCCAAGTCCTGGTGGTGGTGGTCATTGACCGCCATGACCGGTGATGATGATACAATGGATTTCAAATTCCTTGATTCTTTAATTTATATTTACTTTTGTTCGTAGGAGGTTCCTTTATACGTACACTTATACTCCCTTCGTTTCGCATTCATCGCAACAATAGGGTTAGTTCAAATTTTAAGAAAATTGTAATTTGTTGATTCTTTAGTAATTTACTCATGATGAGATTAGATCAAATCTTAGTTTTAAAAAATTTAGCTATGTCCTTTAATTTGGTAGAGTGAAAATTGAACTCTACCCACAATATAAGGAAGATTGTTCAAATTTAATTATTATAGATTAATTTAGTATTATACTTCCTCTGTTCAATTTTACTTAACTTGCTTTGACTTTTATACTGATTACCACCCATCCTTTGACCATATGTAGTGAATTATGTGTAAGGAAAAACATATTCATGCGTGATCTTGTTAGAATCGTCTTAATAAGTACAATCATACTACATATATTTTATTAATGGAGAATTAAAGTTATTGATGATTAAAGTTATGCATTGACAATCGGTTAAATAAAACAGGTCGAGTAAAAAGAACGAAAGAAGTAGCCTATAGTATTAACTTCTATCATAATATCCCAAAAAGGCTAAAAGCAAAAAAATAAACACACACATGTCCTCCACGGATTAAAAATGACAAATTTTGCCATTTAATAAACAAATTTGTTTATCAAAATGATAAAACTGGGCTTCCTCAATCTCTAATTCTTCACTTATAAAACACGACATTATATCACTATTAAACCCTAACTATAAAACATGACATTATATCATAATTAAACCCTAAACAATTCTTTTTATTATCACCAAAACCTATAAATAAATCCCCAAACTTTAACCCCCAAAATCTTGAATTTCCATCATCTATCATCATCAATATTCAATCATGGTGGTAAAACGCACAGATTTCAAATCAATCCTTCCTTTTCTCCCGCCATTAACGCCCCAACAATCTGCCTCAAGCTCAAGCTCGCTCGCATGGCCGAACCACCAAGTCACCGATGCTCTGCAACAACTCGCGCAGGGTCCGACTCAGAGCCGGGTCAACTCAGGCGAACGCCTCTTCGCTGCAATTTCCCGGATCAGAGGTTCTCTCCCTCTTTCTTCCAAGGATCGATTGGCCAAATCTACTGCTGTTGGGTTTGCCAAATTCTTCAGTGAGATGGTTTCGGAAGAACAATCTCGAAGATGGTTCGAAGATGTTGTGCCCAAAATGGGGGATTTGGTTTTGCGATTGCCGGCGCTTTTGGAAGCGCATTATCGTGAATGTGATAGTGTTGTTTCTGGGGTTTCTACTGGGCTTCGATTGTTGGAACCCCAGCAACCTGGAATCGTGTTTTTGAGTCAGGTATATTTGATTTTATTCATTTCTTGTTGATTTATGGTTTTGATCACTGTATAATGTATGGATTTTGGGTTTTTTTTATGTGGGTAATTATGAATCTATGATTATGTTTTGGAAATTGATTGGAATCTTTTGTCGTTTCATGTTCTATAATTGGTGATTGTGGCGGATTTTTAGTTGGGTGATTTTAAATTTGGGTTGTATGATTTTGATGATAAAACTAAATATTGGGGTTTTACTGATTTTGTTCATTTCTTGTTGATTTATGGTTTTGATCACAGTATATTGTATGAATTTTGTATTTTTTTTGGGTAATTATGGTTATATTTTGGAAATTGATCGGAAATTTTTGGAGCAATTGTTGTTCCATGTTCTATAATTGGTTATTTTGGCGGATTTTTAGTTGGATGATTTTGATTTTTGATTGTAGGATTTTACTGATAAACCTAAGATATTGGGATTTTACTGATTTTGGTTTTGAATTCTTGTTGCAAATTTCTATCTCAATTCAGTGTTTGATATTATATGCAATGGTCTTTGGGTCGACTTCCATCCTTCGGTGTGAGAGATTAGGCATATATTTATTGTCAGTGGAACTGTGGAAGGAAGAACCTGTATAATTCCAATTGATTGCATACATTTTATAGTTTATTTGTGTTAATAGGAATTCTGATACAGTCTATTGCAACTTTAGGGGAAAATTTGTGAACATATCTGACTACACCCTTCTCTATGGTGTGTTCCTTGAAAAGGCATTAGGCCAATTAGGGTAATGGTAATTTGTGCAACGTTTTGAAATTCTTAATATTTGGAATTACCTATTTTCTTACATGTTATGTTGTCAAGAGATGGATTTTTTATTTGTTATGTCTTAAAGTGTCAAGATTTCGCAGTAGGATTTATTGTCTTAGTGCTTCTGCAGTTCTGCTCCCTCCTTTTGAGGCCATCGTGCCCCTTGCTTGTACTTTCTCCTTTAGTTTCCTCTATCAACCTTGGGTGGAACAATATATGAAATGCATTTCCTAACAATGCTAGCTTATTGCTGCTTTGCTGTCATGCTCATTCTTTTGCTTGTTTCCAACTCTTAATAGAAAGGCCAAACGTATGAAAGCGATCAACATGGATCAAATATTTTCGTATGTTAATCACCTTTCCTACACTTACCTTTTTTTTTTTTTTTTTTTTTTTTTTTTTTTTTTTTTTTCTCTCTTTCTTTCTTCAGAAAGTTACTTCGGATGGTTCTTTCTTTTGGTGTTCTCAGGAGTCTTCATGATAGCTATCATGCAAAGCAAGAGAACAAATTGAAGTGCATCACACATTATTTTGAGAGGATATGTTCGTCAAGACCTTCAAATTATGTTTCCTATGAAAGGAAGGTTCTCTCTCCGGAGCAGAACCCATCTGTTGTTCCTCTTCCTTCAACTGATTTTTGGGCGAATTCTGCGGCTCCCCTTTGTGAGTTTAAGGTAAATTTTATGTGAAATAGAATTGCATGATTTTGTTTCTAAATTTTTTTACGAGCCTATGGCTATCTCTAAAGTTCTGGACTTTCATTAAACTATGAAATACATGGCTACATTTACCCTTTTTGTCAAAGATTTTCCCTACAGGCAAGATAGAGCACCATCCTCCAGGGTCTCTGGAAGTCGATTTTGCAGATGAATATATAGGAGGACTTGTTCTGACCAAGGGGTGTGTCCAGGTAGAACCTTTCTACTTTAAATGATTACCTGTCATTAATTACTACAGCACTACAGGGGATATTCTGCATGACATTGCATATTAGATTTAGATTTAAATTTAAATTTGAGTGTTTTTTTGTTGTCTCTTGGTATGGTCTGAAGCTTTAACGTATTATACTTTTTCCTTTCTTCTTTGATTGCAATTTGGGGATTTATGTTTGCTAATGCACATTTTATAACTTTAATATCTTGCTAAGTTGTACTTATACTTTAGTAAAAATTATCAAATTTTGATATATTGAAAGTTTATTTTGATACAAATCTAACATGATCCTAATTGACTATATTTTTTCTGACGTATAAATCACAGGAGACGATCAGAAGAGTGTGTGAATAGTCATTTATGTAAAATTCTAAACATTTTGATTAAAAAAGAACGGAGGATATATTAGTTATATATTACATGAAGGGGATATGGACAATTGTAGCCCACAAAGATCCTCCTTTGTTTAATCTGCTGAGTATTGCTGTCCTGGCATATCTGATTTGATTTTTGGTTAATTTCTTTGCAGGAGGAAATTCGTTTCATGATGAATCCTGAATTGATTGTTGCTATGCTTTTTATGCCTTCCATGTCAGAGAATGAGGCAATAGAAATGGATGGTGCTGAAAGGTTCTCAAATTATAGAGGGTGAGTGCTGGTGGAATCTGATGTTCAATCTTTTGAGCACTGACATGCATGATTATGATGGTTCACAAATTGTATGAGCTTGTTGTTCATTGGTTCTGAGTAACCTTTCTTCCTTGAAAAGAGTGAAATTGTCTTTATACTTGAAAGACCTTATCAAGGTTGACCGTTACTCTTTTATTAAAGTTATACATGCATTTATTGACATTTTTTTTGTTTTGGGTGTTGACATTGTATAATTAAATGGTCCCCATACTCATGCTTATTCCCATCTTGCATTTTTGGTATTCAATGTAGGTATAATGCTTCATTTCAATATACTGGTGATTACATAGATAGAAGGGGAGTTGATGCTTTGCGGAGACGTGTGTCAAGAGTTATTGCAATAGATGCACTGCGCAGGGCAGGAACAAAGCAGTATCAGAGTGAATTTCTCTTGAGGTTTCTTTCCTATTTGAATTTTATCTAGTAGTTGTACAAGTAACTATAATATACAAAATGTAATTTGCTGTGTCTTCTGTCATATTTTGAGTTAGACACATGGTGTTAACTTATACGATTGTGGTGGCTGATAGTGGCAGTTGGTTTTCGTCTAAGAAAGGATTGAATGGTGGCACTGGATGATTTTCAAGTGTTACTGCTTTCCTAAACTTTTTATTTCTCCTTTCCCACACTTAATTACTTTTCATTCTCAATAGTGTGGTTTGGTGGGGGATTTAAGGACTTGATTTGACGCTACATCAGGTGGAAGTTACACCCAAAGGATTTTGAAGGTAAGGTGGGTGTCCTTGTACTCCACTTAGGATTGTTGAAACATAAATTTTCAGCTAGTAGGTCTTTTTTCATTGGTCATTTGATACATATTAGGTGTGGTGCACAGAATGCTATGAGCCCATGACCAACTGTTTTCTCCCACCCCCCCCCCCCCTTTTTTTTTCTTGGGGCATTGGGAAAATACTACTTTGTGTTTTAATATTTGTTTGCTGAGGTTGGTGACATAACTCTTAATTTTGGCAGGGAGGTTAACAAGGCATTCTGTGGGTTCCTGGATCATTCTGAGTATCTGCAGCACCAGCAAACGGTGCCTGGATGCAATGGTGGTATTGTTACTGGAAACTGGGGCTGTGGTATTTTTGGTGGAGATCCTCAAATTAAGTCAATGATACAGTGGGTTTCTGCATCTCAGGTGAGCCTTACACAGTTACACCACAACACAACAATTGCTTTATAGTCAATTGAATCTGCATATGACCCAGTGCCTTCTTTCGTTTCATTCTTATTTCGTTGGTGATATGACCTAGTCATTTCCTGAATAGGCGAACATAAAATGGAGGCTTTTGTCTCAACATAGAATTAATAATGAAACTAGCAGGTTTATGTAATAATACGTAAATTTTGATGGGTTGGGACATGTGCTGAATGAGATGTAGGTACACCTATTTCAGTGGATTTTGCTACGCAGAAGAGCTAAAGTATAAGTCAGTCCTAGTAGCCTGGATACTATGTTGTGAAAGACCCTGTTTAATGGGAATAGTTGTTTAGTTGATAGTGCCTCACTGCCCCCACCTTGTCATCTGGAAAATGGGATGTAACGTGGTTGGGTTAATCCCTTAAAGGCGTTTCTGTTTTCTCTTTTTGATGAATTCTAATGTTTTATTGCCGAATTTTGACTTGACAGGCTTCCAGACCTTTTGTCTCGTACTATACATTTGGATTGGATAAAGTGAAAAATTTGGATCAGGTATCCGTTTCTCTTCTCTGGGTTCTTTCTTGGAGAGTCGAAGCCTGAGTACCATTAAATTTACGTAATAGATGTTCTTTCTAACTATTATAGAGATTGATATCATGTCCCTTCTTGGATTTATGCAAAAAAAATTAAATCTATTTTCAATTTCGGTGTTCTTTATCATCTAATCTTGTTACTTCTCCTGTACCAATGCATTTGCTTATTAATATTTGTATACAAATATTAGAATATTACTACAGTTCTAATGGCTATGATGTATCCTATGATATGTCAATGTGATGCAGGTGGTTGAATGGATTGTGTCTCAAAAATGGACTGTTGGAGACTTATGGAACAAGCTGGTCGAGTATGGTGTTCAGCGGGATAGTATAAAGAAGATTGGTTTCTTTTCTTATCTGCTTCCTTCTCTAAAGGAAGAGTCTGCCAGTTCCAAACACCGTCGTGGCAGTGATGCTGAAGGGGATTCTCGTGGCCGTGGCCGTGGCAGATTCAAGAAATGAACAGTGGCAGTGGACTGGCGGTCTGATGGAAATTGGAAAAATCTTAAATCAACCTCGTCAATATACATACAATACAGTATATGAATACGTATTTCCATAATTAGGTGCTACTTTTTATTTTTATTTTTATTTTGGTCGTAAATAATTCATATCAACTGAATAGATAGGCCTAGGAGTAAATTTAGCTGTTAACTGCAAAAAATGTGTTTGTAGTTGATGTTTCTATTCAAAGTAAAAAATTTGAATAGAATCGATTTGTCTTAGAGTTAACTTTGATTTGAGAAGGCAAATAAATTTAGAATAAAATTACAAATCAAGCTGAGATTCTGAGACCGAAAATTGAAACATGAAAGGAGTTGAAGGCTCTGCTAGATATGCTGAGAAAATACAAGTTTCTCAACCTATTAAAAGGGCTATTTATGTTATTTCATTGGTTTAGTATGAGATTGGGTTTGCTTTAGTCTTTGATTTCTAGAACAGGTTAATGGTTTGTACTTTTTGTTGACTTGGCAACTTTTCTTTGTTGGAGAATATTGATTTATTCTCATTTCTATTGATTGATGCTTATATATCCACCACCTTGGCACCTTGACATGGTTACTAAAATCAATAGCAAAACCATCAATGGAAAATCGTATCGATTTCTATTCAATTCTACCATTTCTCCCGCCATTAACAACCAATCTATCAGGCCATTTAGCATGGCCAAATCAACCATTCATTGATGCAATCAAATTGGTCTCTCAAGTGCCGAGTCTAAGTCAAGTTAACTCGGGTGCACGACTATTTACTACAATTTCAAAACTCAGGGATTCTCTTCCTTTCTCTTCTGATCAAGATCGTTTAGCAACATTTACTAGTAATGGGTTCAAGCGATTTTTTGATAAGTTGTTACCTAAGGACATAGCCATGAAATGGTTTGGTGAAGTTGTACCTGTAATGGCTCATTTGGTATTGAGATTACCATCGCTTCTTGAAATACATTATCAAATTTGTGGTGATATTGTACCCGGAGTATCTACTGGTCTTCGGTTATTGGAGCCACAACAACCGGGCATTGTTTTTCTCAATCAGGTGTGTTACATTAACTTGTACTCGTTTCTTGATGTAATTGTATGGTTTTTGGGTATTTATTGTGTTTAACTTGAAAGGATTGCAATTACGTTGTACTCCCTCTGTTCCTATTTGTTCTTTACATTTCCTTTCGACACATTTGCCTATTATGCTTTCTTCCCTCCCTTCCTAGCTGTGAATGTTGTTGTTGATGATTTTGTGAGTCACTGTGCTTGAATGATAATGAATTATGGGTTTGTAAATCTGTGTTCATGATATGGAAAAAAAATGTGGCTTACTTGTGTATGTGTCTATATGTTTGTTGGCGGCAATGTAAATTTTGATATAATATTCCATCTTTTAAGAGTAGTTTGATTTGGTCAGACTACACTAAAAGGATTATTAGGATGTCATCAAGTGAAACCTTTGAGCAAGTCCACATAAAACTTTGAGCAATTCCACATAATGTATGATTGACTCACCTCTGGAGTCTGGACTGATATGTGTGCCTGTGAGGTGGTTACGGTCTCTCACCCACCAACCTAGCTCGCCTTTCAGCTCATTTCACAGGCCGAGACCATGTCTTATGTCTAGAGAGGATCCTTCCATTGTAAAGGTTGATTGTTTTTTTTTATACAATTTTAAGATGGGACAGACTAAATTTATTATGTTATAGATTGTAAACTGAAGAAGTGTGCTTCTTTCAAAAATATGTGTTGCGTAGTGTAGTAAAATAATTAAGGATTTGCAAGGATATTCATACACAAGAAATGAGAAACTGTTGTAAACTTCTGTTGTTTGATTATCAGTTGTACTTACTATTCATGTAGACATGTAGTCAAAGGTGTGCATTAGAGACCACGTTGAGGAAACGAGGGTGTACAAGTTCTTGTTGTAAAAAATATATTTTCTAATGGCAAGGTGGTGTTTTCATGTAGGAGCTTATTGCTGCTCTGCTGTCATGTTCGTTCTTCTGCTTGTTTCCGACGGTGATTGTTGATAGATACGCCAATCTTATGCAGGCATTCAACATGGATCGAATGTTTGCGTATGCTTATCACTTATGCTTTAGTCACTCGCTCTTTTGTTGACATTACTTAGCTTCTAACTACTTACATTGGATGAATCTTTATTTCGGTGTTCTCAGGAGTGTTCATGATAGGTACCCTGAACAAGAAAACAGAATCATGTGCATCATACATTACTTTGAGAGAGTATGTACATCAACACCTTCAAACTTTGTTTCATTTGAACGGAAAGTTCTTTCGCTTGAGCAAAATGCATCTGTTGTTTCTCTTCCACCTCCTGAACTCTGGGCCAACTCTATGGTTCCCCTCTGCAAGTTTAAGGTAACTATTATATATAACATAGGTGCTTCGTCGATTTGAACCATGGGATATTTGGCTGATGTTCTGATTTTCTTTGTAAGGTTTTTCCTACGGGTATGATAGAGGACCATCCTCCAGGGTCTCTTGAAGTTGACTTTGCAGACGAGTATATAGGAGGACTCTCTGACTGATGGATGTCTTCAGGTTGTTACTGAACTTGCTGCTAAATATTTTAAGGCACATCTTGTATGACATAATTTACATTGCATATGTATTTAGCTTATTATAGAATTCGTGTCTCCTTTACATGCTCAGAAGCCTTGTTTAGTTGTTTATGTTATGTTTTGTTATACTGTAAAGTGTGAAGTGTATGCTGTTAGTGCATGTTGTGACAAAGCTAAGGACTTTCTTTTGTTAACTGATATCCTGGAGAATCTAACTTAAAACTGGTGGTGTGCGCTGTGCGCAGGAGGAGATCCGGTTCATGATCAATCCGGAACTGATTGCTGCCATGCTCTTCTTGCCGGCCATGTCAGCAAATGAGGCAATAGAAATTGTTGGTGCTGAAAGGTTCTCAAATTATAAAGGGTGAGAGTTATTGCTGATATGCTAGCTATTGATGACAAGTTTTTTTTATCTTTGGACTAGCCAGAATTTCCCTTATTACATGATACAACAGGTATGCAGGTTACAATAATCTCGAATCCTTTCTTTTGTGTTAATTGTGTAGGTATGATGCTAGTTTTCAATACGATGGGGATCATGTGGACAACAAGGGAATAGATTCAATGGGAAGACGTATGCCAAGAGTTATTGCAATAGATGCATTACGCTTGGGCTGGGGAGGAGCTGTACAGTATAAGCATATAAATCTCTTGAGGTTTGAAATCGATCTTGTTTATTGTAACTACTACGAATAATTCATAACAGAGTTTGCTATGTATTCTGCTAACAAATTGTAACTTTGATTTTGCAGGGAGGTTAACAAGGCATTTTGTGGCTTCCTGGATCATTCCAAACATCAGCAGCAGCAGGCGCCTGATACTGATGAGGGGATTGTGACTGGTAACTGGGGTTGTGGTGTTTTCGGAGGAGATCCTGAAATCAAGTCGATCATACAATGGATGGCTGCATCTCAGGTGAGTGTACACATGACATAAGACAAAAAAGTTTTATGATAGCTTTTATGACATCTGATTCTGTTTCAGACTTTCAGTTGGTTAGAGGGTTGCTCGAATATTTACATAAGGAGCCTCATTTAGAGATGAAGACTACATAGTAAAATAGTTTATCATGAACTCTAATATTTTACTTCTAATACATATTACAATCAATCTTCATTCACAGGCCTCAAGATCATTTGTGTCATACTAAACATTTGAATTGGAAAAACTGCGAAATTTGGATCAGGTATTTTATTTTTGAGAACTACTTTCTGCAGATCTAGTTACTCCTATATCATACCTTAAAGTTTGTTTATGAACTCAATTAAATAATTAAATTAGACTGAAAACTGATACATTATTAGACCGAAACCTGAAGCACAATTTAACATTTCTGTTGGCCTTGATCAATGTATCCTGTAATCTGTTATATGTTATGCAGGTTGTTGGATGGATTGTGTCCCAGAATTGGAATGTTGGAGAACTATGGAACAAGCTATCTGATTATTGTAGCAAACGGGCGAATGGAGAAACAAAGCTTGGCTTCTTTTCTTATCTGATTCCTTCTCTACAACAAGATTCTGGTAGCAGTTCCAATTGTAGTCACTGAGCTATTTCAGGACCGAGTGCTTTATTACAAGGGCAACCTATTTTTATTTAGTTACTTACAATAAGTCTTTTGTAATGCGAGTTTATTACGTTAATTTTATTTTAAGACGCTTGATTTAAGGGTAACGTAAATAATTTTTATGGAAACTTTAATCCCTTTAGATGTAAATTTTAATTTGTATTGAGCTTGATTGAATTTTAATTTGTAAATTTTAACTTCAATGGATACATGCTATGAAGGTTATTATGATTAATCACATACATTATAAGTGTTTTTAAGGGTAAAATATATGTTCGAAAAATGATACCTTTGGTTGTATATAAGGAAAACTTTAATCCGTCTTACAATAATTAATTTAATGAAAGTTTGCCTTAATTAAGAATTTGTGTTCCCCATATATATCTGCAAAAAAAAAAAAAAAAAAAAAAATAATAATAATAATAATAATAATAAGATTATTATATGTGATTAAAGATGTGTTGTTTTACTTTATGACTCTATGTATGTAACGTTAATCTTAAACAGTTAAATGAAATGTGTAATGCGTAATGTGTAACATTGAAGATGATCGAGTTGTTTTATTCTATTATGTAAAGTTAATTTGACTTATGTTACCATTATTAATATACATTATTGACTTATTGTGACACTATAAATATTTGTATTATCTCATCGATCATTATATTCAAACTTTTCCGACCTATACTTTCTATTTCATAACTCTATCATTTACAAATGGTGTTGAATCATTTGAATTAAGGGCAAGTAGTTTGGAATAGCTCATATTTAAAGTGCACCGTGCAGTGTAACTTTGGAGCTCATCATGCATGAGCTGCAAGCTAATAAAGGACTAGCCTTTAAAATAGGAGTAATATTTTAATAAATATTTTAAATGTTGTCCTTTCTACCATGGTAAAGGCCAAACTGGCTAAATTCTTTTAATTATACTACTCGTATCCAAAAAAAAAAAAAATCAGTCAACAAACAATAAATCATTTAATTTGACCAACGAAAGTACTATTGTTTAACAACCAAAATCAAACAAAATTTATGGTATAATTAAATCTAATCACAACATGGTTTATAATAATAATAATCATTTTATACTTTATACTTTAATTGTAGGACTTTTTATAAAAATATTAGTAATAATTTCAACAAAAACAACTATTGCTCGCTGTGCCTACGAACATTGTTTTGCTAGTAGGTGAGCTTTTGAAATTTTGTCCTAATTTTTTTCTTAAAAATAGTTATGAAGTATATATAATAAATTAATTTTCCAAATAATTAATAATTTTGTTCAAATAAATAGCTTAATTTAATCAAGGAGTATATACATATATATACACTTTTGACCTTTAATTTTTGGGTTAGAACAAAAAAACCTTAAGCCATGAGCTATCCAACTCATG